CGGCAGCGGCCGCCATTAAAAACTGCGCCATTAACCGCCGCGCGCCCGCCGGGCTCCTGCTCGAGCGAAAATCGCGGATTGCGACGTAGAAAACACGGCGACTCGTCGCCAGAAAAGAAAAATAAAATAAAATAAAATAAAAAACCGCGATTTCTTTACTCGCGCCCGTCTGTTAGTCTTCCATACGAGATACGGAGGTGATGCCTCAATTCAGGGCCGACATTTGAAAACAATCACCATTAGCGAAAATGAACGGTGGTGTTTTGTGAAATCACAGCCTCCGGCTCCGGCAAGAGACGGAGAGGACGGTCTTTTAGGCCTCACGTCGGCGCCAATACCGTACCAGTGATAACGTTACTTGATAAAAAAAAGATTACTCAGAAATAAATCAACTACTCGATGTATTTAGACGCAAAGATGACAAATAAGCCTGTACCCTTTTTTTAATTCAAACTCTAACACCCAACTCCCCCCAATTTCCCGAACACAGGCGAAGACTGAAACAGGTGGTGTCGAACTGTATCCGTCTTAAAAAGCTTCTCACACAGACTGTGTACAGTGAACACGATGGCTGTGACCACTTATGTACCTCTCTTCGAGGGTGGGGGGGAGCTATTTTTGAAGCCGAAGGGTTTGCCCTGAAAAGACCTCTTAAATTGTAATCGTTGTGAGATCATTTCTCTTGAAGGAGCAGTTAGCTGTACTCCCTTCTAAGTCTTAACGCCTTCTTTTGAATTTAGTTAATGCAAGTTCTACGGGTTAAATTAGTAGTTATTATGTTGATTCATATTACAAAAAAAAAAATGATGAGTACGTCCGGAATGGTGTTAAAATGTTTAGCTTTAAAACCCAGTTACTAAGGTTTACAAAGAACTTGGGGTTGGGTTGGTTGGCCTACATAATCATTTAACACCCCACGCGTTTCTCCTTTTCGGTTATATTTGTGGGGAGGGGGTGTTATTCTAGTATTCACCGCAGGTTTGCGCCAAAACATGCAGCTGTCCCTAAGCCATTTTTAAAATTAAAGTGTTTTCTTAATACATAGGCCTACATACGATGAGTCGTGTTTGTTTGTAAGTGTAGAACAGTTAGGCCACAACCCATCTCCCTATTATTCTGTAACAGTCACGCACAATTTCTTAATGCACTAATCCGGTCCGATGTTACAGACTCAGTAAGTTACAAAATCGAAATCCTCACACCAAGATCTTTTAACTCTTGTCTTTCCCCAAAACAAACACACAAAAATTCGACACAACACGTCGATGATTCGATACGGTAATAATATATCAAAATAAACGACAGCACCTCATCACATAGGTCTATGGGCTAAAAGACGCATTTTAGAATAAAATCTGCGAGTCTCTTTCCAGAAGCTAAATATATAGTTTCACGCGAGTTTTTATCCCATGCGAATCCTGTAAAGATTTTCAACACAACTCACGATGGCGTACCTGAATTATTTTTATTTCCTAGTCACAAAAAACAAATGTGTACGTGCATAGGAACTGGTTCAAAATGAACCAGGTCAAAGCAAGCAGGTTCCTTGTCCGTCTTTAGGAAACATATTCGTAGAGCTGTTTATAAAAAAAAAGATATTTGTATAGGCTGGACGCAATGGACGGATCTCTTTTAGAGGCAAATAGGGCTGTTTTGGTAATTCTTCATCTGCGATTACAAGTGGAAAAAGTGCCACTGTATTATTATTATTAATTATTATTATTACGGCTAATAATAATTGCATAATCGTCATCAAAGTGTGATGGTGTTAAGTAAAATGACGAAATAAGCAAAGTTTCTCTCATCATCACGAGAAACCTTCCTCGGTGCGTCCGCAGCACCTGCTGAAAGGCTCGTGGTGGGCACGAGGAGCGCACCTGCGGCGCCCATAAACTACCGCGCGTGACGGCATTAATAAACGTCTGACGGCGCAGAGATGATGGAACAGCGAATAAAAACCAAACCGAACCGCGCTCGTTCAAGTCGCATTGCTGCCGAACAGTCGCTCAATAACCGAAACCAATAAACCGATTAGGGAATGCAAATAACTATGCAAAGCCCCCCCACACACAAAAACAACAACTCAAGAACGCAATAATTATTAAAAACCAAACTGATTTTCACCACCGCGAAAAATGCTATACAATTCATTCGAAGATGGGTTGCGGAGGCTGTTAGCGGTCAGCTGGGCAGCCTCATTTGTTAGCGGAATTTCTCACGAAACTCGGGGGCCGATTTTGCCGGAGAGATGGAGGTGAAGTTTTCGCTGGGGGGTCCCGTCAAGAACTCCCGTGTCCTCACGAACTGCTGGGGCCACAATCTCGAAGTGTTAACGACGAATCAAACAAAAAGAAAACGTTTGAGCTCCTCTCAGTATTTCGAATAATAATAATAATAATAATAATAATAATAATAATAATTTCATTTATCCGTTCATGGATAATTTATTAAACAATTGTAGTTGGGATTAGCACACAATGCAAACATTTCAGGAAGTCCTAGTGTGTTAGGTGGGACCCAGTCGATATGTTAAGAGGCAAGACAAGGGAAAAAAACGCCAATACTAATTTTTTTTTTCCTTATAGACCTCACAGATGCCCTGGCTCTTTAACAGTGCACCACGACCGACTACTGAGAGCTATGGCGGTACAAATGCAGGCCTACACGTGAGATTCCTGGCTTTTACCTTAATTGTCGAATGAGGTCTGCATTACACGGGTGTGCTGTTTGAATAAGGCTATGTGGTTTCTTTTTTTTCTACAGACGTATTCTTTCTTTGCGTGGCAGAAACATGCAAAGAAATGACGCACCCGCAGATCCCGGTGAAAAATAAACGTATTTATCGAGGGAAAAAACAAATCTGGCTGGAAACGCTAGCTGCCAGTTCGTTTTGACGGTTTAGGAGACCTATTTGTAAAGGTGAGCGAGGATGAATCTTCTCTTCAACAAAATTGCCGCACCGATTTCGATAAAGGGCTCGCGTGACAGAGAAAGCCTATACATTAAAATAAATGATTTAATTAAATAACCTCAAGCCAAACTGATTAAGAAACGACACCAGAAAAAAAGGCTTTAATTACATAAGAATATGCCAGGAGAGTGCTCCAAAGTGGCTTGGATATCTTTCCTTTTGTTATCTTAAATATTTTATTTGGCTACAGGGTAAATATAATGTCGTTATCGTTAGTATAATATAATGACGCTGCTTAATTTTGCTCCTGGAGTCATGAATATGTTTTTTTCCTATTCCGCTTAGGACCACCAACAAACGATAAATCTATCGAATTAAGAAAAGAAAGGATTCTTACAGCTAGATAAAATGACTGTCGAGCTAATGGCGATTTCTGTGTGGTATTAAAAAAACCCAACAAAAGTTAAAAAAGGGCTTCCCATTTAGACAGAGTTCACACCAACACAAATACATTTCGCAACCTGGGATCCGAGTGCTATTTCTAGATTTTTTTTTTTTGGTTCAATACCTCTTTGGTAATTAATTTCGAATTAAGAGGAATGCAACCAATAACCAATAAGACCATTCGATCGCATCATTCGAATATAAGGGGACCCAGAGATGGTTTACTAATATGTACTACAAATCAAGGTGTTCTTCTGTCTCCTCCCGCCGGTTGCTGGGATTTTCCAAAACGAAAACAAACGTGTCGTGGATCTCTCAAATGTGTTTCCCTCCCCATCTCACGTTGAATTAATATGTAACAACTAATGGCCGATAATTAATCGATACCGCTACGGAACGTACAGAAGGAACGATATAGTCGGGTTTTAAAAACATGTCGGGTATACTTCAGCTCTTTACTGTAAATGCTGCTGTAATACGTGCCCACACGCTCAGCTGATTTTGTGGTGTTTACTGCAGAACTCATCTGGAACAGCTCTCTGTGGAAACGGTTTCGAAGGGCGCTATAGGACATACAAGACTGATAAGTCAGACATGTTACAGTTCTGTAAAATAGGTATCCGGGGCCCATCCACTAGAGTGGTCCTTCCTTGCCAATTCCCCCCTCCCCCGCGTGTTTAATTATCATTAGGATTATTACTGTTACTAGACAGTTTTTATCCAGTGCATTGCAATGACGGGCCTGGGGTGACCGTCGCCCGCTTGTCTGCAGGCAGATCCGGAGGCTGGACGTCAGTTCCGCCACTACGCCCTCCTGTCTGGGGTCCCGTAGGTGGTCCTAATGAATTCTCTAAGGTGGGCGGCAGGTACAGAGTGTTCCGTTTGAACTCTTAATAAATAAAAACAGGCAAAACGGGCCGCCATTAACGCGCTCTCTCGACAGCCAATTAATGCTTATCGGTGGTGCATTTCTCAAACAGCCCTTGAGAGCTATAAATCAGAAACTCAAATTGTTTGAATATCTTTGTCACCAGGTGTATACTATTTAACCCTCATATTGAAAGTTTTTTTTTTTATTTTCGCACTGTGCAATGCACATTCGACAAATCTCAGTCTGTTTCAAACGCCGCACCTACATCTTGGTGATAAATCCACAACACTGTTTTAAAACCCGCATCTATTGATGACATTTTTGTTCTCTCTCTCTCTTGAATAGCTCTCCCAAAGCACCGTTATATAAGGACCAACACAAGACCGGAAGAAAAAAAAAAGCTTTCGCAAACGCATCCCTGCTAGTAAGTTCAAGGCACGTAGGCTTTCATTGCGCAGTGATTGGTTAAGGTTGTAAGCCTATAGAAAATGTAACATAAATCAGATTCATGAATCTAACCATCTAACCTCGGGCATGCGCAACCTTTCTGATGAGCCAGATCCTTCTAACATATTAGGTGTGAGCACTATACTGTGCGTTTTTCTGTCTGCTGCCTTCGTACTACATGCATTTTCTATAAACGTAAAAGCGAGCACACTTTTCCAAGCTTGAGCTAAAAAAAAAAAAACAGAACACAATCATAAAAATGGACGCGGCTATCAATAAGAGCTCAGAAGATGCTCCGTTACGTAAAGGTGATTCGCAGACACGACATTTGTCACAGACGCTTTATTAAAATAAGACAAGCCACCGCGAGCTGGACAGACTTGTGAAATTTCGTCTGATAAAATACATACATATCCACAATTCATTCATGTCCTTCAGTTAGCACTGCGCTCGCAAGGCTGCATGCTTATTGATAGAATTCGTATTACAGGGTGTATATAACGTGTGCTCTGCTCTTATTTATTTCACATCCCGTTTCATTTATTTTGGTTATATTTGAAACTTTCAAAGGACCGGGTCAGATACCGACAGAAACCCAAAACAGAGTCGCCTGACTTTTCTGCGCTGGTACACTTCCTGTAGTAAGGATGACTATTTTTCTACATGTATTTAAAATAGGGAATTCGAAAGGAAACACTCTCTAAGGTGAACACTCCAGTTTACTAATTAAACAACAACGGAAAAATAGTTTTTTTTCCCCAAATGTAATTTACTAATAGAAAAGAGTAATTTAAGTGTTTAGGTTTAAATAGGGTACTAAAGATATTACATAGCTTCTTTCATGCACACTGTAAACAGCATTAGAGGAAAAACCTGTTAACACACATTAAATTATTATTTAATGATGCCCATTTGTATCGACTGTGTCACATAGTTGTACAAACATAAAAAATCGAGATGTTACCAAACCGATTTTTTTCAGGCAGACAGAGAATTTCCTGTGCCAAAAATCTAGAACAATATTACATTTCGAGGATGATGATGCAGGTGTCACCCTACAGTGAACTCTCCCAAATTTCTGCAGTACAGGAAGATCCTATAGAAAACTAGTTCTTTAACACTGGGGGAGGAGGGGGTGGGTTACTCGATTTAAAGATCACAATATGGGGATACTTTCCTTTAATCCTACAGTACTCTCCGAACGAATTTCCCAAAATGTCCCCCCCCCTAATCCAGCCGTTTAGTGGGTTAAATCACTCATGTATTTAACAAGCAAGGCCACAGTGCTCTTTAAAGGGAGAGGGTCTTTCCTGAGGAAAGTGCCCGTTTAGTTTGACACAAAAGCACAGAGATGCCTAGCCGCCTGGCGAATGGGTCAGGAATCCTTTGTGCTCCAACTCTGCGGGTCTCTCCTAACCCCCGTGCAGTGTGGATATGAACACCACATTATCCTGGTGCTGAAGTCTGTAATCCATCTCACCCTACAGGAGGAATATGCACACACACACACAAAAAAAAAACCTTTTTTTTTTGGTTTTTTTTGTTATTTTGCGGGGAAGTTTCCGGCTTTTTTGCTTATTTTCCCCCGGGGGCCCCTTCGGCCAAACCGGTTTTCCGGGCTTAAAAAAAATACAATAAGAGCCCACACGAATGCTTAGAGATGTGTTATTCTGCTATAGAAAAAAAGAGATCCGGAATATACACGACTGTGCATATCGCTATCGCAATCATATCAAAACGCAATCTTATGTTGTGCACATCGATAATTTTTTTCAACCCCACCAAATAGTGGTTTCTGCTATAACAACAACCTTGGCTGTTATTGATACAGCAGAGTTTGGGAGAGGAGCAACACAGTTTGTCATTTTGCAGTGGAATAACCAGTCAACAGAGCTCCCTTGTGGTTTTATGGACCCGGGGGTTATGTGCAGAAATAAATGAATATGCAACCCACTGCAGAGTGCAGATCTCCTCAACGAGGGAACTAGTTGGGACTCCCCCCACTGGCCAAGGTGTGCTGACCGACTGGGTTTAAGCAGGGATCTGAACAGTAATGTTACAGCAGTAGCAAATGAGCCTTCTGGTCTGGCCATGTAGGCATTTGCCAAAGAAGGCTAGGCACTGCTTGAACACTGGGCCCTTATGAAAATGAATTCACTAAGCAGAAGAAACAGTATTTAAGAAGTGGATGACGGCGACAAAGTCTGGCGATTTTAATTCTCCTAGCCGAGAGAAAAAACAAGCTGCACAAAACACAGAAATACTGTCAGCAGTGTCCTTCCAATGCTGTAAGAAAGGAGCACAACGGAAAGAATGAAGGTGGTATTTTATCAGCGACAGATTCAAAATAAATTATCCCAGGAAGGTGTACTGTGCGCAGACAGCAGATGGCTACACCTCGACACGTTATTTCCTGCATACCTTCACGGTAACAGGAAGTTCCAAAATCTTTCAAATTCATTTAAATCCAGAGCAGCGCCCCTGATCATTAAATTTGAAACTGCTGCCACCAACCGAGAAGGCTGTGGTAGCTTTGATGAGTCGAGTGGCCTGACACGCAGAGCCAGAAGTTGAACATGATGGTTTTGGGATCGCCAAATTAACATCTTAAGATCTAACATCCATTCATTTCATATCTCCGACCCGGAAATTCTCCTTCCAAATGTAGACCCCTTTTAAGTTACAGAATGGGTGAAGAGCGCTTATAGTTGCCATAAGCTGTTGTGCCGACAAAAGTGCTCACTGAGCCAGAAAGGAAAGTAACGGCTTTAACATCCTTGCAAAACTCAAGGTGCTATTCAAATTTTACGTGGTTACTGGACAGATACATTAACTCAGCAGCCGACTCAGGGAGGTAACTAGTCAAGCCTGGACCAATTCTGCGAGCTCCGGTAGGGACGCACATAACGTCACTAGCAAAAAAAAAAAGCCGTTTGTGTAAGAAAAAACTGCAAAAGACTACTAACCATCAGTTCCCAATCTGCATCGTTAATGAGCACCAGAATGCCAGGTCTCCTAGAAAAAAAAAGCACAACGCATTGTACATCAGCAACCGACTGAAGGCATGATAATCTCTTAATCCAATATCAAGGTATTGGGCATATTACACGGATTTCAGGAAAATCTTGAAAAAAGAAGTGGCTTAGCAGGGGGTTCGTGCAAGGGGCCTTTAAGAAAACAAAACCGAATCATTAAATGATAAGACGTCTTAGCACGGCATAATTTTCTTAAGCCGACATGCATCGTAAACAGATACCGCTTTTGTTGTTTAATGGAATTTAATGCTGCGCAGTCTGCTTTCATCAACAGTATCGGGAGTATGAGGTGAAAACAAACGAAAAAATAGCAGCTTGCAGATAACCTGCTATGTCAACTTTTCCTGTGTTAAAGTTGACATTTTTTCCTAACCTATCAGAAATTGCAAGGATACCCAGATACATTCAAAGCTGTAGCTGGGTTTTTTTTAAAAACAAACCCAAATAAATTGCGCTGTTCAGAGCAGCGTCAAAAGGATTTCTTACTCATAACATCACATCACATCAGTGCCACCCCAGCCCAGAAAAAGCCCACTGCAGGATCTATGAAGAGCTGGCTTGAAAACAGCACTTATACTGTCTTGGCAATAACTGTCAGCACAAAACTTGATCTTGGCAGAGATTTCTTTGCCTGCAAAGGAAAGAAACCTTGCCACAATTTAATCTAGGTTAAGTAGGCTGAAAAAAAAAACCCCATTTGTAATAACATCAGGGAGGCTCTGCTTCAGAGTGACAGAGAGGTGCAGGGAGCCCCTGACTGAGCAAAAACTGCTGGGCTTCATTTTTCAACTCCAACTATAAAAGCGCAGTAAATTCCGAGTCACGTTCGGGCGTTGGGAGAAAAACATTTTTTAATTGGATGCAACGCAATTAAAAAACACCAGAAAAATTTTATATATGCAATCACACACATCGATGCTCAAGAAAAACAATGCTGGCTACAAAAACCCCATAATCAACCAGCACGGGGCTGCCGTCTGACCCAATATGTCCCTTTTCTGGTTCTCCCACTCTTTAAGCGCTTACTGCAAGGCAATGCCTGCTCATCAGAGTGCCATTACTTAATTACGCAGCGGAGGAAGAAAGAAAAACTGGCTGTGGAAATTTGATCTGTTCTATTAATTTCGAGCCAAGCTTCCTACCGAAGCAGAGAGAATGGAGAGGGGGATAAAAAAAAGGAGGGGGTAGGCGATATCGGCTAATGATCAGAGCTGAAGGAAATCCTGTTTGATCTCCTACATGCTGTAATCGTCTGCGGCTTGGCTTCGGAGTGTGTGAGCTTTGGTGAATCTGCGGTGCACAGTTACAGGATGAAAAGAGGCAAAAGTGTCTCGGAAGGGTCTTGGAAGCAAGATCTCTTAGCTGCCTAACGCGGCCTCATCTTCTGCCTTTTGCAGAATCTGTAAAGTGGCATTTTCATTTTTTTTTCCATTTGATTTGCTGAAGGTTAAGGGGTGGGCGGTGTGTGTGTGTGTGTGTGGGGGGGGAACAGGGCAGAAGGAGAGAGAAAGAGAGTCAGTGAGGTGAGATGAATTCCCACTGCGGGCGTCTCCGAGCGGGAGAGGGGGAAAGCCCTCCTACACGGACACAATCCGGGGCCTCTCCGGGAAAACCGCTGTTTAATCAGACACTGAAACCGCGTCAGAGAGGCTGAGGCTTCTGCTACAACTCCACTGTTTCTGTCCTAGTGCACACACCAGGGAGGCAGTATGACGTGGGCTTAAAAGGGATGATCACCAAGACACATCGGCATGATAGACAAAGGAGAATCAACATGAATAATACACAGAAATTAAAATTATCACAGCTTAGTTTGGAATTGTGCGTGGACAAATATTCTCCTGCAGAGACTTCAAATTCATTTCAACTCGGGGGCGACTGCAAAATTCGGTAATCATTCAAGGGAATGAAATTCATTCAAGGCGACCCATAAAAAGTCCAATGAACTGAAAGTTTTGTCAAACACCCTTCAAAGCCCTATCGACGCTGCATCTGAAGTCGGAACACTGTTTCGGAAGCCCGGCAGAAGTAGGTTTTTTTACTTGTGAAACAGCATTGGGATGGATTACAAATTTCTAGAGCCACTTTTGTGTAACAAATAAAGTAGGAATCGTGAAAGAATTGCACTGGTTCTGGAAGATAAATGTGTACAGCAAAGATCAGAAATGAAACCACATCCATCCAGGTGTTAAATTGTTTCATTTTATATGTACTTACACTGTATCCCCTTGTATGAAGAGTTCAGGCCTCTCTTTCAACAGGTTTCCCTTGATCCACAGGAGTAACTGCTTCATGTTCCCTATAAAACACAGAAAACACTTCAAAGAATAAAGACCGTCTGTGCATAACATCCCACCAGGCTTCTCATTCGGGTCTCCCATGGTGCCCTTTAAAATTCAATACGAGATTTCAATCAGCTGTTTGTTCAAGTATTTCAAAAGACATTAAAAAAAAAACATATAGCAGCAATCTTCAACATCTTTAGAAATTGAAAGGTAAAAGTTAAAAACAGCTTGAAACCCAGGAGAAATGTTTAAGCAATAAAAATGTTCCAAAGACACCAACATTTATTTTTTAAATCAAAGTAGCTCAACAAATCATTAAAATACAATTCTGTGTAACAGCCCTTAGCTAGGAATGGGAAACGGGTGCCTAGGCATTTTGAAATCAAGTTTTCATTTACTTCCATCTTAACTGATGCAAAGTTCCAATAAATGAAACTAACGGACAAATTGCGTAGTCTTATGAAAGACGATTCAGAAGCTCCACATCATGTGTAATAGTTTTAATTACCTTATAAAAGGAAACATACTCCAATAGTGAAAAAACAGGGATTACACAGTCACAATTGGGCATCTAAAATTAACAATGCATTTGTAGCCCATTACAATACAAGCAACACAACACCAAGGTTTAATGAATGTAATCAAATATGCTAAATTCAGATATCAAATACTTTTACATAATAAGGAAAAAGTAATAGGTTTATTCCATGCTGAAAAGAAAACATAATGTTTCGGCCATGGAGCCTTCTTCAGGCGTGAGAATATTATTACAAGATAAATAAAGAAATGGAGAAGAAAAATCATGATAGATTACAGCAGAAAATCTGAAACACTGAAAACATTACAAAGGCTGGGTGCGACTTCTCTGCGTATTAACACAACCCCGGAGTGCAGTGACACACAGCCCTGGTCAGGCTCAGTCAGACTGCTGTGGGATGCGTGGCTGCAATTCTTGTGTCACTGCAGCAAGGTGGAGACGTATGGGCCATGGCGTACGAATACGAATTTCTCAAATAAGAAGAGGCTCTTCAGCCTATGCACTTTGTCTGGCTTGGTTTGTAGCTAACTGATCCAAAGATGTCACCCAGCCTTGTCTGAGAAGAAGATGGGGGTAACGATTTCAAAACCATCAGGTCCCATCCTCGTCTTCTCTGCCTGGACCAAAAAGATTTGGTTCTTTTAACCTGTCAATGATGGGCATTCCTTTGAGCCTGGAAAGGTATGTGGTTATTTTCTGATGTCAGGTCAGCAAAGTCCACATTTCTGTATCACTGTGACAAAAGCAGAACACATTATACTAAATGAGGTCTGAAGAGTACATTGCAGAGTTTTTGATTAAAATCCGTTTTATTAATATTCTACGCCTTCGTGGCCTGAAATTGTGTTTTTTTTTGTGTCTAAATAAAAGAAGAGCCCATTTAGGCCTTCGTGGCCTGAAATTGTGTTTTTTATGTGTCTAAATAAAAGAAGAGCCCATTTATTGAAGCCCACTGCTCAGATCTTCGCCTCTTCGGGAGAGCAACTTGCTCACTTGAAATCTTCCACTCCTCCTTTTTGAAACCCCGTTTTAGCGTTCATAGTTTTCTCCTGGCAGGACTTTCAAATCCCGAAGGCCAATAACTCAAAACTCCGACTGTCCGTTTATATCGTTTCCCCACATTGTCTAGATGAAGAAAATGTATCAATATTAACACCTTTGTTTTTCCCCCCCAAAGGTACCTTATTCAAGCTTCGATTCCCTTTCTGTCTTTACAGTTGCTGTTCTCAGCACACAACAATAAATGTCTGAATCCTTCGGACTTTTCTTTGCAACTTTTATAGTGTTTGTTAAACCTACTGTTTTGGTAACATCTGTACAGTCAGCTAAACGAGATCCTAGACAATGTATAAAAAAGGAGGCCTTTTAGTGATCCTAACACATATGTCTGTGGTACTCCACTAATTACAACTCCCAGATTTGAACCCTAGTATTTTCTGTTTTCTATCCATCAACTAGTTTCTAAGCCAGACAGTTTAGTTCTGTTGATGGCATTAGGGAATTGGTCCCACAGATGTTCTGTTGGACTCAGATCAGCTGATGTGTTCTTCCTCAAACTGCCCCATGATCATCCTTGGTCTTAAATTTTCCTGCTGGCAAACTGGCACTTCACAAAATTCGCCCGCAGCACCAGAAGCACTGCCGCCTGTCGATGTTGCTCTCTGAGCGGCACTGTGCCTGCAGTCTGCATCACAGGCGTTCCTGTGCTAAAGGAGGTGTCTCCCCACGTCACACTTTCACCGGCTTGCTTGAACACATCAGTCAGCAAGAATGCTCACTTGCGACGCCTCTACCTGTGGTCTTCCGTCTCTCTTCCACTGTCGCTGCCGCCTCAGATACTCTGTAGCCCACAGAAGACGGCAACTGCATCTCTCGGCCGTCCACGTTACACCTTAATGGCCCCCAGGCAAGGCAATCATTTTCACGCGGGAGGTGAGCTGCAGTCATTCTGCTGATTGTGTGGAAAGTGCCTGGGCTGTAGCCCTTAAAAGTCTGAAGGCGACGGCCCAGACCAGCGGGCTGACCCCCTGACTTCCAGGAGGTCCCTCACGATGACCCAGTCAGATGCTAGCTGGCATCCCATTCTCCGGGCAACGTTTCTCGCAGACGAGCAGCCAGACAAAATGCATTAGCGAAAACATTATTGAAAACGGAGAACGAGAGGCATTTCTTCACCCCAGGGAAGGCGCAAGTCTGGAGCGAGGCATGCCCCGTGGTTGAAGTTGATATCCCGCCATTCCTTCAGGGAAAGGCTGGGATCACTTAGCTACTGGCAATAAGAAGGGACAGGTGGGCCGGGACCCTTTCCAAACACAGTATGGAGAGCAATTGTCTGTAGCGTTCAAAAGCCGTGATACTCGTGCAATGCTGCATTTAGCGGAAGTGGTGAAGAGTGAACCTGTCCTCAAACAGACCAGCGGCGCAATCATCAGAGCCTGTCCTTTCAGGGCTGGGGTGACTCTCTCCAGTTTCCATGAGGCTGTGCAGAAAGCATAAAGCTCAGGATCAGTGCGCAGGGCCACCAGTCAGTAAATAAGGAATGTGGAAGTTGTCTGGAATCGCTATATCACAGGAAACCTAACTCAGAATTAGAATCCAGGTGCTGTCTTCTTGCAGTTTTTGAAAGGATGCTTCTCGTCTAATGACTGTTATCCAGCTAAATCGCCCACCGTGTCGACACATGTGGATGTCCCACTGCTCATCCCTGGAGATCCTCACCTTCCTCTTCCTCGGGAAGGAGGAAATAAACCCCGCCCCCCCCCCGCAAGCGACAGCCGAACGTGCAAAACGAAAGGACGGCACCACCCATCACGCCGCATCAAGAGAATGATTGTCCGAAGCGGTTATGAACGGATTTGCGCGCCTAGAACGAGCAAGACTAGATTTGAAGCCCGATGCAGCAGGACCAGGTCGTTTTTAGCCCGGCTCACTAGAATGGTGCACGTTCTTGATTGCGGACACTCGGAGCGCTCGTGTTGGTGCGCCTGTATACAAGGGGGGCAGCCTCACGGAGAGCCCTGCGGCAGAGCCAGCAGCGCGCAGCAGGCGGAGCGGAGCGCACAAGCTACAGTCGGGGCCTCGCAACGGGCGTGCACACCGCAGACAGGCCCCCTCTCTCCCGTCTCCCGCGCATCCGCATCAGTGTGTGTAGCGCACCCTCTCTCCCTGCACTGGCGGGCAGGAGTGAGGCTGATACTGCGGCTGCCTGCATCCGCGGGTGCCCCCCCCATCCACCACCACCACCACCGCCACCCCACCAGCAGCCACGAGCCTTTCCTGCCGGTTCCAGCCAGTTTGCTCCTCGGGGGTGCGGACGGAAAGAGAGAGAGACGGAGAGAGAAGGAATGGCGTGAACGAAGGAAGGGAAGACAGCCCCCTTCTGCTGTCCCTCTC